TTAATATAGAATTTTGATTCCAACCTGAGTTAAGTACTAACTGAATCAATTTAATCCATGTCCAGTCTTATGTACTACCTACCTCCATACTAAGCAAGGCTTTGTACTAGTTGTAACCTATTTTCGGGCTACTTTGGATTATGATTCAAGCAATACTATGGATTAGTACGACTTGTGGTTGCAGTCACTTGAAATCGCATTTTCAACATGCAACTTTCAATGAAATCGCATCTTTAACATGTAACTTCAAATAAAATTGCATCTTCATCATGCACCTTTTAATGAAATAGCATCTTGAGCATGCAACTTCAATCACTCAAGTATGACATCAATACACTATTTCACCAGTTTTGTCCTGTTCTGTCAATTGTAAGTACAATTCAATCACTTTAAATCGAATGTTGAAAATGCAACTTTAACTCAAATCGCAACCTCAACATGAAACTTCAATTGATGTCCTACCCCACCATGCAATTTCAATTGCAATAATTGAAATCGCATGGTCAACATACAACTTCAATTGTGCTACCCACCTGAAATTGCATGTTCAAACTGCAACTTCATTTCAAATCGCATGTTCAAAATGCTGCCTCTCTTTAAATTGCATCTTGAACATGTGATTTGACCTGCCACTCAGTTGAGTTGTACGGCGTTCGCAGTAATATCTTCAGTTCAGCAAAAAAAAAATTTAAAAATCTTATATGTACAAACTTCAAATTGCATGTTTAAAATGCAACTTCACTTGAAGTTGCATTTTCAAAATGCGATTTCAAGCGAAGTTGCATTCTCAACATATGATTTCAAGCGAAGTTTCATAACCAACATGTGATTTCATTGCTATCCACGTCAATGTCAAATCGTGAGGGAATTTTCGAATAATGTAAAAGAAAGCAAAATTTATACAACATTGAAATCATATTCTCTATTTATTGGAGCACGCAAGATTCTTGTCAATGTCTATTCAATCTAATTTTTTTCTTTTTTTTATTGCTTATTTAACTCCCAAACTCAAACTCTTCAGCTCAACATTTTGCTTTTACAAATATCATATTTCAACATTTCAAGAGACAGCTTCCAACACAATAATCTTTTTCATGAAGATTACATAGGTAAAATATTCATTTAACACATAATCATGTATTTAATATGGATTTTTTTTTTTTAATGCTAGTTAAGGGTTATATTCTTTAGTAATGTTTTGTGGTTGTTGATTTTATTTTCCAGTGTCAATGGAAGGAAAACGATACAATCTTGCAATATACTATAATGGTGGAATAATTAATGATGAGTGTGGAATTGCATATGAGGGTCCTGATCCAAAATGGGTATGAGTTCATCGAAATATTTCGTTTATCAATCTTCGCAATTGATTAATCGATGCTACAGGGATAGACCACAATAGTGGGAATGTCCTAATTACTTAAAGATTTCCATCTAGAAGTTACCCTCATGCTGTCTACTACACATCACTTGTGATCACAGATGATGATGGTGTTGAGGGTATATTTGATATAATTGACTCAACTCCTGGTTACAATATTGCTGAGTTATATATCACTGTGGAGCCTATCTATCACGACCCAAACACAGTACCCAGAGGTTCGACATTGAAACAATTTATTTTTTATTCATGGTGCTAAAATTAATTAAATATTTTGGAGGTGTTATACCATTAATGTTATTCCTTATAGTAATGTTAATGTTGATGTGCTAGGTACAAGTGAACAGACTCCCATGGATGTGTATTCCCCAATTATTACACATGACCATCACTTCGAACCTACGTACTTTGCATCATCCGATTATGACTCCCATGGTGATCACATCAAATGTACTTACATTGTACCTACCGGCATTAACTTTGATGGGGTAGAAAATATTCAACCACGGTACACCAATGAAATGTGTGAAACAACCACATATGCTGTACAGGAAATGATTGCAAATGACATCCACATCCCAGCAGATGATGGTTTGGACCCTGAAGACAACGATGCGGATGAAGGAGTTGGTCTATCAACTGAAGGGGAACAGACTGTTTTTGGTTCTTTTCACCAAGCCCCATCTCCAATGTTTAATGAGGATACATGGTCAAATGTCAATGATTCATCCATACCGTTGCCAGTTAATGTCACTGGGATCTGGGATGCTACAACAGAGTTAAGCAAAGGGCTATTGTTTCGAAACAAGGAAGACTTACAAATTACAGTAAACCGTTATGGCGTGACAAGAAACACTTACCATGTAATGGTGAAGTCAACAATAGACTTATGAAAATTGTGTTGCAAAAATGGGTGCGAGTGGAAGCATAGAGCATGTAAGCGTGTCAAACATGGTTTATTTGAGATTACTAAATATGAAGGACCTCACACATGTGTATCTGCAACGCTTACACAAGATCATGCAATGTTGAGCACAAAGTTAATTGAGCATGAAGTGCGAGAGCTTGTAAAGGCAAAATCTCTACACTGAGAGCCAGTATTAGGCAAAAGTTTGATGGTTTCTTACCATCTTATAATAAGGCCTAGAATGCGAAGCAAAAAGCCATTGCAAATATCTTTGGGGATTGGAATGAATCATACCACATCTTACCAAAATGGATGATGGCTATGATGGATTCCAATCCAGGAACTATCGTTTCATGGAAAACAATGCCGTCAGATGTTGCGAATAACGTTATATTCAAACGAGTGTTCTAGACATTCAGTTCTTCTATCGAGGGTTTCAAACATTATAGGCCAGTCATCAGCATAGATGGAACCTTCCTAACTAGAAAATATAAAGGTAAGTTACTAATTGCAGTTTCATGGGATGCAAATAATCATGTTTTCCAATTGCCTTTGCTGTTGTGGAGGATGAGAGACTAGATACTTGGTCATGGTTTCTAACATGCATTAGGGAGTACGTGACACAACGGACTGGCCTTTGTCTTTTATCTGACAAACATGGAGGAATCTTATCATCTGTGAATCGCTTATGTTGGTGGCAACATCCAAACGGTTATCATCGCTACTGCATTCGCCATCTTGCCAACAACTACCATGCAAAGTACAACAGTGCGATATTGCGAGACATGATCACTTCGGTAGCTTATGAGAATCAAAAAATGAAGTCAATAAGAGACTTAAATTCAAAAGCTGCAGATGAACTTGATCGTGTGCCACTTGAACTGTGGGTGCTAGCACTTGATGGTGGCAAATGTTATGGAGCTATGACTACCAACCTTTCTGAAAGCTTCAATGGAGTATTAAAGGGTGCACGACATCTTCCTATCACATCATTAGTACAACTAACTTTCTATAAATGTGTTAGTTATTTTCAGGAACGATGTAACAAGGCCAATGTTGAAATGCACGCTGGTGAACTTTACAGTGTTTATGCAAAACATATGCTCACGAAATGGGAGAAGAAGTCCAGGGGTCATTCAGTGCGGAGTTTCAATATGAATTTGGGTATTTTCGATGTTCAAACTACAATGAACCCCTTGTATTCGAATCGGGGTTTGCATCTTCATGTGGTCAACTTGATGGAAAGAACATGTGACTGTCAAAAATGACTGAATTATAAAATTCCATGTTGTCATGTCATTGCAGTATGTAAATTTGCCAGCCTTGACCACCTACAATATGTTGATGAATGTTACACACTGAAACCACAAATGGCATGTTATCAACACCCATTCAATCCTGTAGTTGATGGTGCTTATTGGCGAGAGCCTAACTTTCCAAAACTCCATCCTAATATGAACCTTGCTAGGACTCGTGGTTGTCCAAAGACTTCAAAATGCTATGGATTGGCGCGAGTCTCAAACCAAACAAAATTGTGGATTGTGTGGGCAAGAAGGTCATAATCGGAGGAAATGTCCAAATAGCATTGTAACAGCCTCAAGTAGTAGGTCACATAACTAATTATTATCCAAGTTGATTGTACCATGTATTTCAATATTGAATGTAATGTTATCAATATTAAGTTATTTTCTTGCTATTGTTTGTTGTATTTTGTTCAGTAAAAGCTCTACTATTTATCAAGGGTGAAATCATCGACAGTTGTCTGTTGGCTGTGTGTTGAGAAGATTAAGTAAACATTGAGGTTAAATCGATGACAAGTATATTTAACAAATAGTCTTTGCACTACAGAGTGATTGCACTACAGAGTGTTCGTCCATCGGATGCCAAAAATGAAAATTCTTTGTTTAGGGATGTCTGCCAGGATGTCCACCCGGATGTCCGGTGGGTCCCGGTCATGAAGATTACTTCCGCGGTTGACGAGTATACTGCTGGCTTGACAACCGGTGCGGAGCCAAACTGAACTGCAACAAAACTGAAAAAATCCCCCAGCAGGTCATCCGGCCGGACATCCAATTGGATGTCCACCCGGATGTCCGAATTCGTTTCAGCTTGACTGCTACGACTGCTACTGCCCTCAGCTATTTTTGGTGCTGACTTCGCCTCTGTCTTGGGGTGAAATTTACACATGTTTAATCATTATTTTTAGAATCCCAAATTATATTTAGGCTATAAAAATACGTGAACAAATAATGGGACAAAATATAAGATTTCAATATAACTTTCAATTCATAAATGAGGAGCAAACCAAACCATCTACAGCACCAGCAACAATACAACAGCATCACCACCACTACAGCAGCACCAAACCAGTGACCTACCAACAGCATCAAGTGCATTTCTGCACCTCAAAACAAGAGCACACCCGGGAAAATCTCCTCTTCCTTCTAAGCAACATCTCACCTGCAATCATACAGGGAAGTTATCCTCACAACAGAAACAATACACCAGCACACTCCTCCAATAGCTTACAAACAACTTCTGACCTACTTCAAATTTGTGACAACATCATGCACTGAGTAGTTAACAACTCCCCCAATATGACTGTCACCAACTCCCGTAATCTGCCCAAACTTCTGGCATACTAGACTTCACCCATAGAGTTAATCTGCCCAAACTTCTACAACGAGACTTAAAGAAGGGAAACAAACCACAAACAAAATTATGTGTCACTAAAAATTAATAATACAATACTTCAGCAACTAAGTTCAAATTGTGTAGCCAAAACCAATATATAAACCATTGGCCAAATGAAATGACGCCAAGAGTGCGACTGTACACTAAACAGAAATGATACAAAAGATGCCAAAGCCAAAGCAAAAATTAAAAACATTTTCTGTCAATATTCAACTTAACATTTTCTTTCCTACTTATAATACTAATTATACGTTAAATAATAAAAACTATAACTGTCACAAAAATAATATATGTTATACATCACTACTATTTGTGCCGAGTAGGGGGAGGTGTATAGGTGCCACATCCAGGATGTCTAATTTTGCGAGTTCCCCTGCGACGTGGGGGTTCTAGAACCTGTGTCACACCCTCCTCAGTAGCTTGATGTCTGCCTCGCTTCCTCCTATAAGGAACAGGGTCCACAGGCACAATAGGTAGTACTCACTCATCAACATGTGATCTCCCTTCCCCACTATGTGTAACTCTCTCGGTAGATAATGGAATCCCATCTCTACTTTGAGTACCTCCCTCTTCAGATTGTGTAATGGCAGATACTGGAACCTCCTCGTGCGATGCATGCATAGTCCCAAGATGTTGCTCATCAGCATGTGATCCCTTCTCTTCACTATGTGTGATTGTCTCAGTAAAGGCTGAAACCCTCTCAGGTGATTGTGTCAGTCCGTCTCCAGAATGTAGAGCCCCTGCTGCTGTATGAGAAACACCCTCCTTAGAATGTGTGACCCCTTCTTCATGTTGTTCTGTCATTGCATTCCCAAAATCTTCCATGCGGATAGGGGTTTGACACCAATCATTTAACATGGATCTGAGGTCTGGTATGGAGGTAAAGTCCCTCTCAACATGTGGCTCACTATCTACCCCATCAGATGGTTGTGCCTCTTCATGTACGTGAACGTCAGGCTGTGGTTGAGGTACCCCTGCGAAGCGATCTTGATCATGAAGAGCTGCAAGTGCCTGCCTGGCCAGTGTGCCAATATGTGATCCCTTTAGAGATGCGTTACATATTTGTACCAAATGACCACTCTAACAAACATAACAAAAATGTTAAAATTGAAAAACCATATATGAGTAATAATGTTGACAAATAAAAAATATATATATATACGTACCACGAAATCAAATGTACATGCAGCACGACTAATATATCGACGAATGATACGTCGATACCATACCATGTACGGATTAGCATCATGCATATTACCATCCCATGGTTCACCTATAGCAATGTGGGTTCGGCATTGATCCCATAATTGAATCCACTCTTTGTGATGGTTCACCCAATCTTTAGTTTTGGTTCCATGTAAATCGAGGTTATGAAGAGCAACGACAGTGTCACAATTGTGGGCTATAGTCTGGCGAAATCCAAATTGCCGTTGTACTCTATCAAGATTGTGCATCTTGACAATGAAAAAACAGATCAATGGAACTATTGCTTGCCATATATCTGCACCATCCAAACAATATAGTGGAATCCCCTCAATCAACTCAATACTGTAAGGTCACTACACCACCTACAACATAAGTAATAAGTATAAGTTAAAAAATTGAGCAATATAAGTAACTCATTTTACTACAGTAAAACATAAACAGAGCACTTACCTGTGCAAAGGTCTACCTGTCCAAGGAATAATGATATTGACGGAGGACATGAGTGGAAATCTCTCAAACAGTAAATGCATCTCACCAACTGAAGATTTTAAACAAATGGGTATATTATTAATCAATACTATAATAATGTCTAAATAATCAGAGTAAATTAAAATATAATAACATGTAAATGATTAATACCGTGTCATGAAAGGACCGTCCGCTATTGGTTGTCTAAGAAGACGATGCGGAGCAATGTGAGGAAATCTATACCACGCCCAGATTTGAACAAGGATGAGAAAACCAGGAATGACATGCATACGTTCGCAAGATGCACGACATAACTCTCGATACAACCAAGCTAGTGCTGCACTCCCCTAATTGTATTCCCCAGTAGCATCAAAGTCCTCTAGTAAAGGCAGAAACATCAATTGCACCATACTACCAGATGTGGCTGCAAAAATGCTACCACCCAGAAGCTGGAGAATGAATGCTCTAGCATAGCGCTGGACTGTGACATCATCAGCATCAATGGGTAAGTTACCATAAGTCTGGGAAAGCCACGTCATGTTCAACCTCGATCCTTTGAGCTGATTGGTAGGTGGAACTGTCCCTAGAAGACGATTGCATACAGCAGGCCAATCACAACCAGTATTCCCTGTAACAGCGTTACCATCTACCCGTACTCCAGATAAGATACTGACATCTTGCAATGTGATGGTTGCCTCCCCAGATGTTAAGTGAAATGTGTGTGTCTCCGATCGCCAGCTCTCTACTAGTGCAGTAATAAGATGCCAATCTAACTGTATGAACGGCACACGGATGAGTCCAACAAATCCTGCTCTCTACAAGTATGGGACTATGCGTGCATCAGGGGGGGTCCCATACGTCTTATCGTAGCCTTGCGATGTCAACACGTAAGTATAACGGAGTCAACATCATCCTGGGTAAAAATCACATAACAATTAATACAATTTCACTTGACATATAATGTAACAATTTCAAGCAAAGGAAAGGAAGTGTCACATATACATACCGAGGCAGTCCATGCTAAAGAGAATCGGTGAGACTGTTGTAGCGTCAACACAGTAGGATCAGCTGGACCAGGGTCCATTGCTACAATAACCTGCAAATAATATATCGAACATGTAAGCATCAACATTGTGTTCAAATTTGTCATATAATAAATGTGAACAATATAAATCAATAAACTTGTAATTAATTAAAATGAATAGTATCTTTTTATTAATGGGTCACAACAAGATACTGTAGTGAAATAGGTTAATAAACACTATGATAACTAATTTAAATAGGAGATTACTATCTGTGTAATCTACTTTTTATGTACTCACATATAATACAAGCACAGTTTCATTGTACTACAATTTAAAGAAAAAAGTTCAACCAAGTTATCTCAATTGGGATGCAAGCGGATGCAGCGGCTGATGGTTATACTTATCATGAGTTGTTTTGTCTATGTTCTATTAAGGCCAATTTTCATTATGTTTTGTTATTTAATTGTATTGTTGGTTTCAAACTGTAAATTCATATTATTAATTATTTATTTATTATTTTGTATCCTATTATCTATTCTATTCTATTATACAAAGTTCAGTTCAATTCAATGAAATTCGTTTTCATGAATTCTTTTCCACAATGACATAGAATTCTGTATGTAATGGATGATGATATTTTTATTACCTTGGCAGCAAGATTGGAAACATCAGACACAATATTATCTCAGAAGGTTAAACTATTGTAACTAATTACAAAGCATGTTTGATGCTACTATAGAAAGAACCTTCCTAGCAATATCATGAAATATCTATGAGTCAGCCAATTATAAAAAAAACATGTATGGAATAGTACAATGGGGTGTATGTGTATGTGTGTGCAAGGCATCACCAAATATCACCAAAATGCCATCATAGTTGGAGTTTTTTTAAGAGGTAATGCAATTTTGTACTGAAATCGCAGCTTCAAGATGCAATTTAAATTTCAAATCGCATTATTAAAATGCAATTCGAAAAAGTGAAATTATTTGAAAAGATAGTAAATTCCATTATAGAAAGTGAAAAATTCCATTTTATGCGAACTAAAAAAAATAAATGTCACACAATCTCAAAATTCCAAATCATCAAGTTTCTTTTTATGTGAATATTTAAAAAAATTAAAGTATTCATGTAAATAACCAACTTTTCCAACTATTTCTCAAACTAACTCACTTTTAAAAATCGCAGGTTCAAAAAATATGATTGCATGATGAAATCGTATCTTCAACATGCAATTTCATGTAAGTTAAGTGAATATGAAATGTCATGTTCAAAATGCAATTTCACCATGAAATTGCATTTTGAACATGCGATTTCATGATTTTAAAATATATATATATATATATATATTATCATTATTAATATCATTAGCTGGTTTGACCAGATTGTTGCATAATAGACCCATTCACAAAATGTCAAACTCAAATCCTCTACTTCCATTTCACCCTACACCCATTTGGATCTTATAATCACTGCTCACCTAGGGTTTTATTGATGTATCATCTTTACAGAGAAATCCAAGAACTCATTCTCAAGAAGAAAACTAATCAAACAAAGAAAAACCCATTTAACATTACAGAATTTGTAATTCAAGGTAATAAACACTTGGTTTAGGACTAGAAATTTGGTTGAGGAATTTCATCGAGTAGGTGGTAGGTAAGGTCAAGTTTACTCAATTCCCAAATCAGAAGCCCATAATCTAACATTCAAATTGTTTATCAGATTGTCCAAAGCCCAAATTCCAACATTTCACAACATTTATCAGATTGTCAAAAGCCCTAAATCCTCGTCCAAACAAGAAAAAAAAAAAAAGAAAAAAAAGAAGCCCTAAATCTGAATATATATATATATACAAGATACATATATACTCAATAAACAACTATATATACACACAAATATATATATATATATACCACATTACCTCTTAAGTCGTCCTTCGTCGAATGAGATGGAAATATAGACAGATTCGGAAGTCGGGCGTTGGAGTCCAGGAAAAGACAAAGTTCGATGTCCGAGTGAAGTGGAGGAGTTAAGGGAGTCGGGCGTCGAAGTGAAGGGGGTAGCTCTCTCTCGTGATAGAGATCAGAGGTGTATCATCTGAATGTATCATCTGAAGCGAAGTTGAAGTGTGAAAGTTGAAATTACATTTTCAACATGCAATTTAAAGCCACATTAGCAAGTCATTGTCCACGTAGACTTCAAACTTATACTTCAAATCTGTCCACGTAGACTTGAAATTGCATTTTCACTTCAAGTTAAAATTGCATGTTCAAAATGCAATTTCAATTTTACAGTGCATTTTCAAGATGCGATTTCAAAATTGGGTTACTTTCCCAAATAGTTTGAAAAGCCGGTCAATTCGCTAAATAGTTTTTTTTTTTTTAGAATATTCAAAAAAAAAAAAAAACTCCAAGTTTAGGTCATGCCTAACTTAAAAAATTCAAAAATCTCTCGTGCCCAAACCCCGGCTTGGCCCAACTTTGGGCCTAAAAGTCTTTTCTAAGCCCAATCCTAAAATGTTTTTTGTCTAACTTTTTTTTTTCAAATAATATATATGAGAACTTAAAAAAAAAATGGTTAGAAAAATATTGTTTTATATAAAAATAATGTTTAATCGGCCATTAATGAGCTTAAATTGGAAAGTTTTTAAAAAATTAATGTAAATCGTAAAAACTTATTTTTAATTTTTTTTGTTTGAATTTTTGTACAATGTTTATATATATATATATATATATATTAAAAATAGTGTTTTTCCTTACTTAAGTGGCACATTCTAAAAGTTTTTTTTTGTTTTCTAAAAAAGTCACATCAGTATGCTTTTTCATTTATATATAAAGTTATATACAAACTCAATTTCAAATTTTAATAACTAATTTTATATGTACTCTATTTGAGAAATAATTATTTTCTATATATTTTTCATTATGTTTTTAGTTTTGTCGTTGTCATATTTCTTTTATATAGTTGATATTTTAATTTAATTATTATGATATTTGAAAAAAAATTATTTCGATATACAAATAAATAAATAAAACAGAATGTGCATAATTATATATATCGCACGGATCAAATTAAATTTTTTTTTTCATATTTTTTGTCAATCTTATTGATGTCTTAATATTAATTTATTTTTTATTTTTTATTTAACATGAAATTATTTATTACAAAATATTTATATTTAATTTAAATTTTATATACCAATACGCAATATGTATGAATAATTCAAAGAAAACATTAAAAAAAAAATCAATACTCAACATATTTAATTTATGTATTTTTTTTTCTTAATCCTATCACAACATATTTAATCTTTTAAATAAATTTTGTACAGTCCTATTTCTATGTATTTTTATTTTACAAATAACAATTAAATTAAATAATTAGAATCACTTTTAGTTTTATATTACTAATTCCCTTTGTAGTCTAACTATTATTTTTAATATTAAAATGAGAGTTTATGTTACTATCTTATCATTTAATATATATATATATATTATAAATGATTATATGATAATTACACTATTACAATGCAATATAATTAAAATTATCAAAATAAATAAATAAATTAGCTAAATTTATTATATATAGTTATTGAAGTAACACTTTTATAAAAAAAAAAAAAAGGGGGCTAAGATTATTAAAATAATAAATAATTAAAATTAAAATTTTATTTTAAACTTTTTTTTTTTTTGTGACACATATCATAGTATACAATATTATTACATTAATTAAAGTTAACTCCATTGTGATTTTATGTCAGACAACATATTTGTAGAAGCGATTTATATACATATGTTGCATCCAATTTGATATTGATTGATTAAAATAATGAAACTCGATACTTTTTTCGTTAAATTTTTAGAAGATAAATTGACAAATGCCAAAATAATAATTTATTCAAAATGATTGTGTATATTTAAGGCACCTATTGATGTTTCTTTAATAATTTTTAATTAAAAATTTTGGATTTACAGTATTACTAATCATGCATCTTCATGAGTTCTGCCATGAAAGATATAGAAAAATAATTTGGCTAGAATAAAAAATTTGTGGTTATTATGATTTGCTACATAATTAATCAAAATCCTTTTGAGAACTGAAAGTATAAGGTTATAGAGATTTTGTACTTGATTCTCTTTTAGGGCACTATTCATGATTTGAATTTATAATTTTTATGCGTCAATATGAATAATTGTTATGATCTTACTGATATAAGTATAAATTTTACTTTTGAGTCAATTCACCTTAAGCATTTTTTCATATAATAAAATACTTAAAAATTGTCATATAAAAGTATTATAATATATCATTGTTAGACTTATTGATTTTGATGATTATTTTTCTATTTCTAATTTATTTGGAAGAGAAAAATAGATTGAAATCTTATAGTTTATCCCATTATATTTTCATCTATTTTTCTATCCTAATCATATATTTGGAGTGTAAAAATGTGCTTAATCAGGTGTCAATTATAGCTTTAAACAAAGCCCAAAACAAAGTCCAAAACACTCCAGCACAGCAGCAGCCGAAGCATTCCAGCCCAAAGGGGGCCGGACGTCCGAGAGGACGCCGGACATTTGGCCGGATGATCAGCCAAGGGTTTTTTGCCCAATTTGCTCCAGTTTAGTTCTGTCATGATCCAAACCCGCCCCTAAAAGTTTGGGTCATAACCGGCTAGTAATCGTTTGATTACCTTCGGTCTCATACAAACATACAAAATAATTATAATAATAGGGCCATAAACAGAAGTATACAACAACATAGAAGTCCATTGAGCTATGCTGAGCAAAATATAACACATTCACATCGTTTACATGCCCATGCCAAAATATAAGTATCATGGGAAATTTTATACATCTCGATTACACATCCCAAGACCAAATAACAAAAACAGAATAAGGTCAAAGCATAATGGGAATCAAAGGCAAAACTTCATCTCGGAGGCATAACTCGATATGTTCACAAAAATAACTCCCAAAGCTGATTCTAAAGGTGGGCTCTATTCTGCGGATCACCTACATGTGCATACATAATATTAGGTGAGAAAAACTCAATGAGTAATAATACAGTAAAGCAGTGCAAATACATGATCATATGGTTCTCACAATAACCATAATTATAATACGGAATGGCCTTGGACCCATCTTATAAACAGAACAGCCTTAGGCCCATCATATAAATAGAACGGCCTTAGGCCCATCATATTAACAGAACAGCCTTAGGTCCATAAATATCATAACGGCCTCAAGCCCACATAAGTACAGAATGACCTCGGGCCCACATATTAACAGAATGGCGTCGGGTCCACATATTATATAGAATAGCCTCGGGCATACATATTATAAAGAAGGCCTCGAGCCCACATGTCATACAGAACGACCTCAGGTCCAAAATATTATAGCATGAACAAAATGACTTTAGGTCCACATTGCACATGTCATATAACTTTTACAAATTCATTCATTTCGATCAAAATATAATATTGTAGACACCCCATTTTTGACCGACCTTAAGACTCAGACATCACCAACTGAGCGCTCGGTGTTGTTGCATGTTGTGCTCATTCTGAGGTTGCAAAGTCTCGGCTGAGAGCCTTGCCTCCGGGCTTCGGAACCTTTTCGTGCCTTGTCTCGGTTTGCGAACCAGGTCCTGTTTTCTCTGTTTTCTTTTCCCGAAGGGGGGAAGAGGTCTTGAAGACCATCTCTCAGTGGCCGTAGGCTACGTTTCGTGGTCGTAGGCCACTTTTCCCGTTTGGAGACCAATTTTTGATTTTCAGAGCCGTCGACCGCGCGCCTCGGTTCGGGACCGTTTAACTACATCCATTTGCTCCGATTTTTGGCACACACCTTGTTTTCTCTCCCTAGAGGGACACTGTGGCCCGGGAGACCACCTTCGGGGTCGCACGCCACTTCCGGCGCTTAACAGTCAGTTTTTGGGGCCCCCGGCTACGTGTTTTGGCCCCCGAGCCCTCGTTTTGCATCAGTTAGGGTTCATTTTTGGCATGGACCCTATTTTCACTGTTAGGAAGGTGGTACAAGGGTGGGAGACCACCTTTTCCCCTTGGAAACCAGCTTTCTCCTTGGTGACCACTTTTCTCTCTCCTCTAGCCAGTTTTCTTGTCGGGAAACTGGTCTCCCTCACTTTTGGGCCATAATTTTTGGTCTCCCATACCACCATTGTGTTGCATTCATCTAGGAGGCCACCTATTTGGTATGGCTGACCACCTTTGGTGCTTGACCCTTTTGACCCCTTGGTCTCCCTCACTTTTGAGCCATAATTTCTGGTTTCTCATACCACTATTGTGTTGCATTCACCTGGGAGACCACCAATATGGGTAGGCCAACCATCTTTTGTTCTTGAACCTTTTGACCCCTGGTCGGCCGACCAGGGAAAGTGGTCCGCCGACCACTTGAACTGGTCAGCCAGCCTTCTCCTTTTTTGTCCTCCTGAGTGCAACACAACTTTGCCAGCTGGGAAAGATTTGACCCATCCTCCGGGATTTAGCCCCTTTGCTTGTCTTCTTAAGGAAGCTTTGGTCCTTTTGCTTAGTTTCTAGGAGAAGCTTGACCCTTTTGGTTAAGGTTCTTTTAGAAGCTTTGACCCTTTATTGAAGCTTCTTAGAGATGCCTTGGCCCTTTGTCTTCTATAAGAGAGGGTCTCCTCTCCTTTTGCAAGGGTTAGAAATTTTTGACTGAGGCTTATACGCTTCTCCCTCCATAGCTCTCTTCTTAAAGCTCCAAACCCCATTATTCTTACACCCATTACACTACACCTCCTAGCACAACACCTCCACCATCCATCCAAGCACCTTGGAACTGATTTGCAGAGGTTGAAGGCTCATTACCTTGGTCCAGAAGGTTCTGAGGGTCGGCTCTACAAGGGTAAGCCTCTATTTTCCTTTTTTTTGCATTATTTGCTTCATATCTTAGCCCTATTTGCAAGCATTTTTGGGTTTCGACATAAACTGAAAAAAGTTTTCTTTTGAGCTTATAAACATGTTTGCTTAAGGTCATTTTTCTGTTGGGGGTCATCTACCCCCTTTCATGCTTCATTTCTTCATGTTTTGAGCTATGCATTTGAGCATTTTCATTGGCCTTGGTTTGGCCTTTT